TTTTTTTTTTTTTTTGGTACCGGGGATCGAACTCGGGTCCTTCTGCTTGCGAGGCAGGCGGCGGAACCACTGAGCTAAATCCCCAGCCCAGGACATTTTTATTTTATTTATTTTTGGTGGTACTAAGGATCAAACCCATGAGTCCTCTGCCGCTGAGCTATGTTGCCAGCCCCCTTTTTAGTTTCTGAGGGACGAAAGTTGCCCAGGCAGGACTTGAACTTAAGATCCTTCTGCATCACCTTCCAAAATGCTGGGATTACAGGCATGCACCACTGTGTCTCTTGTTTGTTTGTGTTTTTTTGGAGAGAGAGACAGACACAGAGACATAGAGGGACAGAGAGACAGAGAGAGACTTGTAGACTACACTAACCTGGAACTCACTGGCCCTGCATTTGGGATCCTCTTATCCTTCTGCCTCACTCTTCCCAGTGGTGGGATTAATGTCCCACTCTGCCAATATTATATGTTTAACAGTAAAAACAGTTTTTGTACGTATATATGAGAGACCTATCATCTACAGTCACAAAACAATAATTTTATGAATACTCTTCATTTACTTCAAATTTATGTCCCATACTTACACTAGGTTGCATTGTTCAGAACTACCTACAAACTGTTTTCCAAGATGTTTTAAGAGTCTGGTGCATTTTACTACTTGATTCTTTTTGTATTCTTGTTTGTTCTTCTTAATCTGGGGCCTTGGCTGCCTTGTCCATTTCTCTGTGAACATCATGATGAAGCCAGTGAGTAGAGTGATGAGGGTGATGCTTAGAATTGGGCCAGATGAGACTGATGACTCGGTTTACTGGTTTGGGCATCAGCTGCCCAGTGAGGGACGATTTACTTGTCCCAGAAAATGAATGTAGGATGGTTTGGTCGTGTGTGTCACTGACATCTATACACATTAATGATTATACTGTTTTTATTTTAGTACCTTGGTTGTGAAGCAGAAGTTACCCGGAGTCTATGTGCAGCCATCTTACCGCTCTGCATTAAGTAAGATAAGGAATCAGTCTTAATGGCATGTTCTGTTCCTCTTACAAAAATTGAGGTCTTAACCATGTTTATTTTTTTGCTGCAGTGTGGTTTGGAGTGATATTCATACGGCATGGGCTTTATCAAGATGGTGTGTTCAAGTTTACAGTTTACATCCCTGATAACTATCCAGATGGTGACTGTCCAGTAAGTAGGAGACTTTGTCTGGCTTCATTTGTGGGGCTTCATTCACTGAGGAGAAATTAAAGAGCTTACAGATTTCTTCTTTTCCTGACCTAATAGGTTTAATAGTTTTGGTTTCCCAAAACATTTGTCTTCCCAATAGTCTTTCAAAGAATTCTGGTGTTTTGTTGTATTTTCTGTCAAGCTGCCCTCTGCCTATAGCTAGCTTCATTCTTTTTTTCTGTTCAAGGTGTGCCATTGAGGCTGAAAGCTCTAGTGCAGCACTTTCTGTATGAATGGTGATGTGTGTGTTGTAGTAGAACAGAGTGACCTTTTTCCCCCTCATTGAAAAATTTAGTGTTACAGGAAAATTTTTATAAAAGTTGCTAAGTAGCTGTCTTGTGGCAGTTCTGTGACCAGACAACATGACTGCTATGTTATCCTGAAGTTCCTTTTATGACTGTCTCTACAGGTCTAATAAGCTCCACTGCTCCTTTTAAAGTACATGTCTTTCTTTAAATATAGCGCTTGGTGTTTGATATTCCCGTCTTTCACCCGCTAGTTGATCCCACCTCAGGTGAACTAGATGTGAAGAGAGCATTTGCAAAATGGAGGTTAGTAAATCAGTGCGTCTTCTTATGACACAAGATGGCAAGAACAAGTCTCGGTAATCATGCTGTGTTTCCCTGTAGGCGGAACCATAATCATATTTGCCAAGTATTAATGTATGCAAGGAGAGTTTTCTACAAGATTGATACAGCAAGCCCCTTAAATTCAGAGGCTGCAGTACTGTATGTAACTTTTACTTTGTTAAGACAAATTTTGAAATGCCCCAAAGTAGATTAAGTTGGTAACTTTGACTTAAACTTTTAATACAGGTATGAAAAAGATGTTCATCTTTTTAAAAGCAAAGTGGTCGACAGTGTTAAGATGTGCACTTCTCGTTTGTTCGAACAACCTAAAATAGAAGACCCTTATGCAATTAGGTAAGTGGCACATTGTATAGATGAACTGTCCTTTGCATTATGGACTTCCATTTTCCAGGTGGCCTAAGAATGAGGATTTTAAAGAAATGTGTATAATCTGTTAGCCTACAGCCTTTATGTGTTCGTGTCAGCTCAGTTTCTGATGGCTCTTGGGGAAAAGTTTTACACTGTCTACACACTGTGCCAAAGGCAGGATATTTAGTGACACCTAAGGATCCTTGTAATGTGCTCATTCTTCCACATGTGAGGACTTTTCACTTGGCAGCTTTAGCTGCTACTCTCTGAAACTGCCATATCCTGTTGACATTCAGATGTGGTGAAAGAGAAGCTGGGTAGTGTGAGAACAGTGGGACCTACAGCACTTGATACTTGATCACGGGGAAGAACATCTTGAAGAACTGGTGATTTGGTTCTTTGATGACATTAATACTGCTGAGGGCAGCATGTTGTAATTAAGAGTGTGGGATCACCAGGTAGATCGGTTGGCTTTTGTACTTTTTAGCTTTGGTGACCCAGAGCAATTATTTAATTTTACTCTGCCTTGCTTCCTTCATCTTTAAATAATAGTATTTCAGGCTTAAATATAAAAGGGATAGTTAAAACGTGAGAAAGTAATTTAGGTAACATTTAAAACATATATATTGCTAATTGATGGGCTTAATTATTGCATAATGGAAGTTAAAAGCAACTTACAAAGCCTAACTTTTTAATATTTTTCTGTCTCTTAAGCTTTTCTCCATGGAATCCTTCTGTACACGATGAAGCCAGAGAGAAGATGCTGACTCAGAAAGTAAGTAGACAACCATCTTTGAAATATTTAACTCATCATTTTTTTTCTAAGATGTCTTCATGGAGCCCACTTGTTATATACAAATAAGTTTTTGGGAAAAAAGTCTGTACAATGCTGATCTCACCTACCTTTTTTTTTTTTTTTAATGTCTGTTTTTGATTATGCCTAGAAGCCTGAAGAACAGCACAATAAAAGTGTTCATGTTGCTGGCCTGTCATGGGTAAAGCCTGGCTCAGTACAACCTTTCAGTAAAGAAGAAAAAACAGTAACAACTTAAGAGATGATGAATCTGGTGCACCATGCACTTTCCTGCTGGACTCTGGCCTAGTCAAAGCTGACTGATGGCAAAGGACTGCCTGAAGAGTAAACGGTGTGAACAATGACTGGTTATCAGTGTTTCCCATGTGTGCATAGGTTCTAACAGCAGGTTTCAGAAACTTTCTTTAAGTGTAATGAGTTACTTCTGTCAGAAGTGTCTTAGGGTGGTTGTCTAGATCAGTACTCCAAATTATTGGGGACCCTGAGGGTTAAGTATTTTTCTGAATATAATGCTAAAGGTAAGTTGCATTCACTTACACTAATAGAGCAGACCGAAATCAGCACTATTTAACAGTTTTTAAATCAGTGGTTTCAGTTGTACTTAATGAAGAGGACAGGTATAGAGAGAGCAGATTCCAGAGCTTAGCACTTTCAAGTGGAAGATTGTTTGAATTTCAGTCTCCAGCCTACTGTCTCACTGATTTACAAACTGCTGTCTGAGCAACAGAAGAGTGAGAGGAAACCAGAATGCTTGTTCATAGTTGGTTTTTCTTTTTAAAGCAAACTACTTAACTGTATTTTTATGGCAGGAGGGAGGAAAAAGTGTTAAAATGGTTTCTAATGAAGTCAGATATTTAAATGATGAATGACTAATGTGCTTAGTAGAGACAAAATAAACCAATAAATGATTGTTCTTTGTCATTTATGTATGTAGGAAACTAAATACCATTTCTCAATATAACTAAACAAAGACTAATTTATAAATGCTTTATTGAAAAATACATTTATTTTCATATAAAATTACAGTAGCAGTAAGTATCTTCAGAGGTTTTATAAATATTTTTGCAGAACACTATTCTAATTGAATAGTGTAAGATCCATGTTTCTTTTAGAGCAATATGAAGTTACCTAGTAACTTTGTTTATACTGATTCAATTTACAGTTAAATTTTCTCCCTAATAAGATTATTAATTCAATTTTAAAACTGCTGGAACAATAGTGATTAATAAAGGTATATATAGATAATTCAATAGCTGTTAAATAACATTTTCTAATTTATATAAATGGTACTATGTACTAATAAAGACCTATATTCTCCCACCTATTTTTTTAAACTGCCAGGAATACACCCAAAGATACTTCACATGTCTTTTTTATACCTCCTAAAAAGGTCATATTAATCCCCTCAATTCAACCTGATTTAAAAATCTTTTACTTTGCCAGCTGATTCCTATATAACAACAACAAAAACTGGAGAATTTAAACCACATGCCCAAAGTTTGGCTACCAGGGCATTAACAGTTTTTAAAAAGTACAAAAGTATTAAAGAAAATATTGGCTGTTTAGCCTAGAAGTTCTGTACTTCATAAACTTCACATTGTAGAAAGTGCCGTCACAAATATACAGCAAAATTTGGGTTACAAAATCAAGCATTTTACAGCCCTAAAGTGCTGCCACTTCTATAGGTTCCTTCAGACATTGCACAGCTGATGAATCAGCACTTTTCACACCACGCCTCACCTACTGGGGAAAAGGAAGGAAGTGCAGAGGAAACAGGAGATAGGCTAGTGACTTGGGACCTCCAAATCTAGGCTACCCTCCTATTTTTGTGAAAGCAAAAACTCACACTCCTACCAAGTGTTTTAGGACAAAATACCTAAATTTTGTTTTGCTTTTCATTAACAGCTACAGCTGACCATGGACAGGTAGGAATAAATGTGAAATACAGCTCCTCTGCTGAAACATGTCAACAGATCTCCTATTTGAGTGCATTTTGTTCTCTACTTATAAACGCTTTGCCAGAGTTAAGAGATCAGGGGTTCTGAGAAGTGTTGATGGTAAGCACTAACTAGCAGAGGAAAAGGCAGTTGGGGTGAATAAAAATATCCTAAGGATATTGGAAGGAGTAAGTACTCATAAAAATGTCTCTTCCTGTTTCTAACAGGCTCTAAATAACTGGCTAGATTAAGGAAAAGGGCTGCATAATCTAGCATGCATTAAATGATGCTGCTAAACAGAGTTTGTGAAAAGACAGTTTCAATACCAGAAACTAACCTCAGTGGGAACCTCGGTCATTAGCTACGTCTTGGAGACGGCGTAATAAGGCAGAATGATTTTCAGGACAAATTCTTTTTGCAGGTGATTCACTTCCATCTTCCAAAATAATCCCTCTCTTTTTAGTTGGAGTTTCTCCTGTCCGTATCATACTGTTAATTTCTCTCAGTCTCTATGATGGGAAAAAATAGATATAAAAACTTTAAAATGCTAATGCACATAGCTCAGTATGTATTAATCTCAAATGAGTTCATCAGTTTGCCTGGACACTTTTACAGAGAAACAGTGACATAATTCTGCATTATCTCAGATGGTTAAGAATGATGACTCTTGGGGTAGGGCCAGAATATTTCCAGACTTATTAAGCTTCACAGATGATTTTGATACACACATTTCTACAATGTGTGGGTTCACACATTGGTAGATATTTTTCATAACTGCTATACAGCACCACACTGCTATGCTATAATTAATCATTTAGATAACATGCCCATCTTCTCTTTTTTTTTTTTAAACTTCATGATTTTTAGTACTATTTTATTCAGGATAGTGTTACTTGTGTTTTTAGCAACCCTTCTCAACTGGGATTTCATTAGAGAAATAAGCCTTAATTTGCTAATGCATCCACCATAGATAATAAATTACTAAGCTCTAGAGTGGTATTAGCTAGTTATGTGTTATCATTGGGAGAACTGAGGAAAGTTGCTCAGATTATTTTCTGAGTTCTGTGGCTCAGATGAAGAACCCCAGTGGAGAAACCCTTTTCCAGAAGCAAGAGACTGAGCTCCTCAGTGCCTTCATCATTGTGTTTTCTCCAGAGTCCCAAAAGTCTTTGCTCACGTTTTCTTATAGCTTGTTGGTTAAAATTTTGATTTCATGTGCTACTTCATTATCCATGCTTCCTCATAAAAAGAATATTCACATATATTTAGTTTAGGAAATTTCAAACAAACAAAGGTAGAGAATCAGGTATAATGAATCCATATGCTAATCACCCCACTTGACCAATTTTGGGAGTCTTATTGATCTACATACTCCATTTCCCAGCCCCTAAATTATTTTAAACATACTGTAGATGTGTTTTATTCGTATTACTTGTCATTTTTATTCTTTACTTTGAAATAGTAAACAGCTCTTGGGTTTTAAGTAAAATCGCCAATGTTCAGTTTTGTCAGCATATGGACTTTCCATAATCTTAAACATCATAAGAAAGCTTCCACTGGGGATGTAAGAGCCCTTGCCTACCATGCATGAGGCCTTGGGTCTAATCCCCAACATCATAAAAACAAAAATTTTCTACTTTGCCTTGCCAGAAGTCTGGTCTACATTTGCAGTCTCTCTAGTCTCTCAGTCTGAATGTTCCTTATATTATTCACTATGAATCCATTAATTGTATAAATGTTAATTGTAAATAACAAATTATACAACGTGTTAATATGCAGTATCTAATCAGATACCTTTTAACATATAAGTACACCTATATATAGCACATTGGGGTGTTTATTATGTATATACAAATGTATACAGTATGCAATATTTTGCATGTAATTCAATTAAACAAGATATATATACACAATAGTTTAAACATTCATAAATTCCTATTCCAAAAAAAAAAAAAATCATATAGCATGTGCCTAGACTCTAGCTGCAATCCCCAGGGATACATACTAGTCTTATTCTTCCACTGAACAAAGGCTTGTTTGTATGTATCCTTCTGCTAATACTATTTTGATTGGGTTTTTTTAAAAAAATGGGATAGCTAGACCTATCTTTAATCGTAGCTCCTCAGGATTATAAGTTCAAAGCAAGTCTGGACAACTTAGACCCTTTCTTTAAAAATGAAGAGGCCTGGGGATATAGCCAAATACCAGGTCCTGGGTTCAATACTCAGTACTGAAGAAAAATAGATAAACTTATGCTCTGTTTGGAAAATCTGTACAGTCAATTGTCTGAGGTCTTGCCATATCAGCCTATGTGGGTCTATCAAAATCTCTTAACTGCTACAGTTTTTATAGTATGTCTCCATGGTAGGCTTATATCCACTGATGTATTATTTCCTCCCAACTGTTCAATGCCATAATCAATACTACTATAATTTATTTTTCAACAAGCTGTACAAATCCACTGAAATTGATCTTACAAGTGTCACCAATGGCGAGTCATCTTAATTAACCATGTGTGATATACTTGATGATTCTTTTGTCCTGATGGTATGAATGTTAGTTTATTTTAGGTTGGCTATAGCCCAAATCCACTTCTTTGTAAGAATCTCCTTGGTCTCAGTTATCGCTTATTAAATCATGATATCCTATCAACAGTCTAGTAATTGCTCATCATTTACTGGAGAAATTCACAACTTTGTAGCAGAAATTCTTTTGAAATCTTCCCAGGTGGCAATACTGTAGAGGCAGGATTGAAAACCACTGACCTGGGTGCTAGCAATTTATACACAAAGTATTTTCCCTGTTGTCTCTATTAGTTCCAGTAACTTTTTGTAGATTCTTTGTAATTTCTCTGTGTACACCGTCCAGTCTGTATGCTTTCTTTAGCTTGTCTTATTGCACACAGTAAGAACTCCGATTACAATGTTGAAAGGAAGCAAGTGAACATCCTTCCCTTACTCCTGATTTTAGGGGGAAGCCATTCAGTCTTTACCATTAGGGATACGGTAGATATTTTGGCAAATGTTCATTAGCAACTTCTCTTACGAAGTTCTTAGAGTTTGTATGTGATGAATATTGGATCCTGTCACATGTTTTTCTTTCAACTGTTAAGATGATCTATCATCTTCACTTTTTTTTTTTTGGTACCGAGGATGGAACTTGGATCCTTGCGCTTGTGGGGCAAGCGGTGGAACCACTGAGCTAAATCCCCAGCCCAGTCTTCACTTTTCTAAGAGTTTGTATAGAGAACTGCCATTAATTTCTTCCTTAATTGCTCAGCAGAATTTACCAGTAAAGCCAACTGGACCAAATAGTTTTATTTGAGGGGTGATTTTTAAACTATGTAATTTCTTTCATACAGAGCAATTGGGGCTACTTCTTCTTGAGTTTTATGACTTTAGGTCTTTCAGGGAATTTGTCCATTTC